GCAGCAGAACATTATACTCAACCTTTTAACTTATATACTGACTCTAAGTATGTAGTTAATTTATTTCCAGCTATAGAAACAGCCTTACTCTCAGGAAGCTCAAAGATATTGCCATTGCTACAAAAATGAAAACAAACTATTAATAATAGAAAAGAAAAAATGTACATAGAACATATACAAAGTCATACTAATTTTCCAGGGCCTTTATCCGTAGGGAATAGAATGGCTGACTTGCTTACTAGGGAAATAACAATTAATAATGTCATAGAATTGGCTCAGCAAAGTCATGAATTACATCATCAGAATGCTCTAGCACTTAAGAGAATGTTTAACATTACTAGAGAACAAGCTAGACAAACAGTAAAAAACTGTAATTGTTGCCCAAAAGCTTATCATCCTCAAAAAATGGGTGTGAATCCTCGAGGGTTAAAACCTCAAGTCCTGTGGCAAATGGATGTGACTCACATCTCAGAATTTGGAAAGCTTGCTTTTGTGCATGTTACTGTGGATACATGCTCTCATGCTGTTTTTGCCTCAGCAAGAACAGGAGAAGCAAAGACGTTATTCAACACATGATTACAAGTTTTATGGTATTGGATATTCCAAAACAATTAAAGACTGATAATGCACCAGCTTATACTTCAAATACTTTTAAGAAATTTTGTGATACATGGGGAATAAGACATATCACTGGTATCCCATACAATCCACAAGGCCAAGCCATTATAGAAAGAACTCATCAACATCTTAAGCTACAGCTGCAAAGATTAAGAGAAAGGGGACATTATTATTCACCACACCAATTGCTTAATCATGCTCTTTTTACTTTAAATCATCTTAACACAGATCAGAATAACTTAACCCCTATGCAAAAGCACTGGGAGGGAAAGAAAGTGTCAAATTACCCACAAGTTCTGTGGAAGGACCTCTGGTCAGGTCAATGGAAAGGGCCCGATGTTTTAATAACCTCGGGAAGAGGATATGCATGTGTATTTCAACAGGATGCTGAAACACCCTTGTGGATCCCAGACCGGCTCATCAAGTCCTACAATCAAGCCCAGGAAAAGGAGGAATAGAGGAAGGTTAAGATCTGTGGCTGAGTGTGTCTCCTCCACAGGCCCAATCAACACAGAAAGCCAGTCTGCCCAACTGGGGACAAGTGAAAAAATTGACTCGTGAAGCAGAGAATACTGTGATTGCTTCAGGGCAACATTTGACAAAGGAAAATATGTTTCTTGCAATTCTTGCTGTTCTGACCGTACAAGCATCAATTGCTTCAGGGGAGATTTATTGGGTGTATGTACCTAACCCTACCTAACCCGCCTCTTTTGCATCCTGTGGGGTGGGGAGATGGATCACAAATTAAAATAATGACTAACTATAGCCAACTTTTAGGTGGGTCTGAAGATTTTAAAACTTTTCATTCAACTTCTGAAATTGTTAATTATGAGGGAATGTCAGATACCACTCCCATTTGTGTAAGTTTAAAAGGACAAGCGATGCCCGGATGCTTACCCATTAATTATAAAACCTTCTACACAGATGGTCCTGATCGCAGCTCTGGTTTAAGTACAAATTATAACGGAAAGAGTAAGGGAGATAAGAAAAAATTAATGTAGAATTGTTTCCTAAACATCAGCCTTCAGGATCTAAAGACTCCATTTATGATTTCTCTATTCCAAATCCTAATTATAATTATATTGAGTATCTGTTAAATAACACAAATAAATTTAATAATTTTAAACTTCAGACTTATGGAGAACCAGTTAAAAGATGGTTTACTCCCGGATGGGTGGCTCCCATATACGTGAGTCACTCTCCAGAGCATAATAATACAAATATTCATCCCAGTCTCTTCCGGCTTTTTGTGGCTGCAAACGTGCCGCTGCTTAGGAAAATGAAAGAAAGCACACCTACTCTGGTGGGGGTAAGAGCTTGTATTAATTATCCTTTTGAAATTTTGGCAGGGAAGCCTAGTAATTTTAGTATGTCAAATTATGGAAAATTCTATTATGTAAAATGTTAAAATTGTGTGTTTACTAACAGAGACAACTTTATGTAAAAGATAAAGAACTATAAACAGAAAGGGCAGCAGGCATTAATGGTTCTGACTGAACCATTGTGGTATCTGCTGCCATGACAGTGTTTGCTACCACAGAACAGGGCCTACCATGCCACCCTGAGACAAAAAGATTCATTGCAACACTGATATTGGGCATAGGCGCATTGATTACCATCTTGACTTCGCTTACTGTTTCCTCTATTGCTCTAGTGGAAGAAGTCCAAACGGCACATTTTGTAAATAATCTTAACAAAAATATTTCATTGGCTTTAGCAGATCAATATAGCATTAATCAAAAGCTAGATATGAGGATAAATGCTTTAGAAAAAGTGATTTTAGCTTTAGGCCAGGAAGTGCAAAATTTAAAGGCACAGCTCTCTACTAAGTGCGCTAGTTTTAAATATATTTGCGTGACTCCTTTAAATTACAATACATCCTTGAATTAGAATGCTACCAAAACCAATTTGTTAGGAGTATAGAAAGACACTAAAATATCTCATGATATGCAGGATTTACAATTACAAATATCAACAATGAGTCAGGCACGTTTGGATGATGAAGGCATCTCTTTTCTAGCGCAATCACTAAAGAATAATTTGATTTCACTTAACCCTTTCAATTGGGTGCATAATTTGATTACTACAGGTGTCATCATAGGAGTAATTCTTCTCCTTATCTTTCTGCTTGCGGTCATCTTTCACCTAGTTCTCTCCTCTGTCTCATCTCTCCGCCGAGTACACAAACTACATTTAAAAAATAAAAGGGTGAAATGTCACGCCATCTCCAATGAAGCCCGTGTGAGATGCTCCATGGGTTGAGGCTGGAACTTCAAGGAAGGTTACCTCTTGGAATTGGTTGTGCTGAGAAACATACAGTGTACTTGGCATGCTTTTACTTGCTATTATTTTTCTGCCACTGTATCTTGGGCTTTCTGGGGGCCCAGAAAGCACCTGGTGTCCTTGGCACTGTTATCACTGACTTAGATAATACTCTAGTAGCAGAGGAAGCTCTCCGCTCCAGAGAAGTGTGTAGCCATCAGCTACAGCCAGCATCAGAGAAGTCTGTGCACCTGGCATCTCCAGAGAGGCGCGGCAGGCCAGGCCCACCAGCGGCTAGCCAGCGGGACCAGAACCGTGGCAGGAGAGTGCACTCACACCTGACCCTGGGCCACATCCAGAGTGAGTGCGCCCGGGAGCCCAGGCATGCTCCCCACATCGCTTGAGGCCAACATGGATAAATTGGTAAGATCAAGACCACCTTGGTGTCTTTTGACAAATAATAAGAGAGCATTAAAGGGCAAATATAGACTGTATTTGAAAAATTGGTAAACGCCGGGACTAGCCAGGTGTTGCGGAGACCCCAGGGTGCCTGCACACACCATGCCAGGGGTCCAGCGACCCTTCCCATAACATGGGATGTCCCTTCTTGGGACCTATGGAGTTAAAAATAACTTAAAAGCCCTATGGCCCACTACAAATACGCAAGGAATATTTTCAAATAGTTAAAAATGTAATATCAGGCACAGCTCGTGTTGAACATGCTTAATGGGTTAAGGTCATTCTGACTTGGGACTACAAAGCTGAGCAGAATCCTAAGTGTGTGAGAAAGGCTGGCAGTAAAAATCAGAGTAAAGCAGGAATTTACTGTCTAGTATCAGGTTGATAAGATAAGGAAATGTGTTGGCAAAATTGTTTTTCTTTCATCTCTGGAATTGTAAATCTTAGCATGATTGTTCTGCAGATTTTGTAATCTTTGCTGTATATATCTCAAACCTTGCAACTGCAAAAATTACACTCAGACTTTCACCAAGCTCCTTTGTGTCTGTTTGTCACTCACTGACTCCTTGTCCACCCTCTCGACGACCCTGTTCCCATCGGACTGAACTGCACCGGTCTGGGCTGGTCCGTCGCAGGGCTGAGAAGCTCTTACCCCTTCCCACCCCTCCCTGATAAGCTCGAGGCTTGCAGTAGCTCCTTCCTGAACAGAGAAAGGCTGCCACACATGACTGCATCACACGAAATTCATGAAGGAGTTCAAAACTGCACCTGAGAGAATACGTGCATGACTGTGCTGGCATAGGATGTTTCGGGCATTCATTTCACACTTGGGGGGCATGATTTCAGTTTTCATGTGAATTTTTTACTTTTCAGTCCCTAAGATAATACCAAGAAATGCTCTGTGTTCGCTGGCTTCATTTTTCCGCCCTCTCATCCGATGATGGCCACCTGGGCCAAAACCATTTTCCTGGGGCCAGTGAAGCCTGCAAAGCTCTCCCTGTGGAGGCAGGCTTCACTGGAGCAGAACCTAGTGACCTTGGAGGACTCAGCATGGGAATGCCGAGACAGAACGTGGGACTTGGAGAAATTTCTCAAAGGATGTCACTCTCCCTCCAAAAGTGGGTAGAAGAGGTCCTGGCGAGGCATAGAAGACAGTCTACATTGAGAACCTCGCCAGCACTGCTGCCTGTACCACTTCCTTTCTGTGCACCTGTGAACTCTGCTCCTGGACCTGGAAAACTCTGAGGCGAAGTTCAATTCCTAATCCCTTTTCCTGGAGAAAGGATGTACCTGCAGCCATTGCTTTGATGCCATGTACACTGACTGTGCCCAGGGACCTGCCCAGAAAACCTAGAATGTCAGGCACTTACTGCCTCCATCACAGCAACCAGTTCCCCTCACTGACAGAATTCAGTGCTGGGTAGATCGTCCCTTCAAATGATAGACTGACGTCACTTCCCAAAGGGAAGTTTCCCAAAAGCAGGAGATCGAAATGGGGGAAGACAAGATAAATGACCAATGTGTCCCGGAGAGAAGCACCTAAGAACCCTGGAAGCTTAAAGCCTCCTGACAGGCCCTCTCATAAACAATACCCAGAGGTTCTGACATGACAAAAGCCAGAATGCAGAAAGTATATTAAAAAGGCTGTAGGAGCCACTTACCTTTTCTTTCCAAGCACTTCACGAGTCTCTTGCTTCTTTCCTGCAGCCACAAAGACAAAGAAGACCTCAGCTGTAGGTCAAAGTGGGCATCTTCTCTGAACGGCAGGGATGCTCACAAATTCCCATGGCCCTGGGGTCATTGATTCCAAATGGAATCGGTAGATGGGTGAGGGCTGGACTGTGAGAGTCATGACTCCCCACTCATTGAACCCATCTGGAAAGCTTCGCTGGGGATGCTGAGCCTCCTGGTGTGCTTACCTCCACCTGGCCCAACTCACAGCAATTCATACCACACAGGTTTTCCTGACACCACATTCCTCACAAAATTGTCTTTCCACAAGACAGAGTGGGAGAAACAAAGACATGAATGAAGCAACAACCCTACCCTGAATCTAAGTTCCCCCTGTACGACTGGAATTTGGATCCCCTCCTATAGGAAGGGCTTCCTCATCTGGCAGGAGGACACCCTGTCAGCAGAGAAGAGGCCGCATGGCACGAATATGACCCAGGACACTGTTGCACAAACTTGGACTGAGAAGCTCTTACCCCTTCTCACGCGTCACTGGTAAGGCCTTGGCTCGGCTTAGCTCCATCCTCACCCCAGAATGCATGACTGCAATACCCGAGTATTCATGAAGGAAGTCAAAACTCCACCTGAGAGTACACACGCATAACTATGCCGGCATAGGATATTTGGTGCGTGCATATCACACTTGGGAGTCATGATTTCAGGTTTCACACAAATTTCTGACTTTTCAGTGTGTAAGATAATACCGAGAAATGCTATCTCTTCAGGGGGCTTCATTGATCCTCACTCTCATCCCATGATGGACACCCAGGCCAAAACCATTTCCTGGGGCCAGTGAAGCCTGCAAAGCTCTCCCTGTGTAGGCAAGCTTCACTGGGGCAGAACCTAGTGTCCTTGGAGTACTCGACATGGGAATGCTAGGACAAAATGTGGGACTTGGAGACATATCTCAAAGGACGTCACTCTGCTCCTAAACGTGTATAGAAGAGGTCCTGGTGATGCCTAGGAGGCAGTCTACATTGAGGACCCCGCCAGCCCTGCTGCCTGTACCACTTCCTTTCTGTGCACCCGTGAACTCTGCTCCTGGACCTGGAGTGCTCCAAAGTGAAGTTCAATCCTAATCCTTTTTTCTGGAGAGTGGACGTCCCCACAGCAGGAGACCAAAATGGCAGAAGACAAAATAAATGACCAATGTGTCCTGGAGAGAGGCACCCAAGAACCCAGGAAGCTTAAATCCTCCTGAAAGGCCCTCTCATGAACAAAAACCTAGAGGTTCTGACCTGACAAAAGCCAGAATGCAGAAAATATATTAAAAGGGCTATAGGAGCCTGTTACCTTTTCTTTCCAGGCACTTCACGAGTCTTTTGCTTCTTTCCTGCAGCCACAAAGACAGAGAAGACCTCAACTGTAGGTGAAACTGCATCTTTTCTCAAAGGCGGGGATGCTCAGAAATTCTCCACTGCACCGTGTTCATTGATTCCAAATTGAATCGGTAGATGGGCAGGGGGCGGACTGTGAGTGTCAAGACTCTCCGCTCATGGAACCCATCTGGAAAGCTTCGCTGGGGATGCTGAGCCTCCCGTCATGCTTACCTCTATCTGGCCTAGCCCACAGCAAGTCATACTAGACAGGTTTTCCTGACACCACATTCCTCACAAAATCGTCTCTCCAGAAGACAGAGTGGGAGAAACAGAGACGTGAATGAAGCAACACCCCTACCCTGAATCTAAGTTCCCACTGTACTCCTGGAATTTGGATCCCCTCCTATAGGAAGGGTTTCCTCTTCTGGCAGGAAGAAAGAGAACCTAAGTACAATCTGTGGTATTGGAACCTGTCCTTATGAGCTCTTCCCAACATCCTCATTGCTGGCTGAAGAACACTCAGAGACTCTCCACATTTCCAGAGCTGAGTGGCAAAGAAGAGAAAGGAAGGCCAGCATTCTCAATCCGCGAACAGAGGATTGATGCCCAGGGCCTCATGGCTTTGGAAGAGGAAGCCTGACCAATGTGTGTTCAAGCTGCCCAGCAGCGGGCCCCAGGCAATGCCAGGCTGTGAGAATCTTTGTCGTCTCCACAGAGGCTACATGTCTGGACCTCAGATTGCCATTTGTTATGAGTCACTCAGCATCCTCAGGTAGTTGTTCTCATCATCGATCCAGATGAGCAGTCTTTCCACAAATAAGTCTTTCCACAGCCAGGCTATTTCTGGATTAGGGCAGAAGAACAGTAACAGAGGAGACAGTGTGGTTACACTGCCAGTCCAGAACTGCCCCACGGTCAATGTGAAGAAGCCTGACATGTGTTGGTCTAGAAATAGGAGAAGGACACGAGCCATCAGATGAGAACTTTGGGAAGAGAGTACCCTGACACTAGAGAAGAGGTCGAGCGGCACGAATATGGCCCTGTATGCTGTTGGGCAAACATGGGATGAGAAGCTCTTACCCCTTCCCACCCGTCCCTGTTAAGCTCGAGGCTTGCGGTAGCTCCATCCTGAACAGAGAAAGGCCATCACACATGACTGCATCTCACGAGTATTCATGAAGGAGTTCAAAACTCCACCTGAGAGAACACGTGCATGACTATGTCGAAATAGGATGTTCGGGGCGTGCATATCACACTTGGGGGTCATGATTTCAGGTTTCACTCGAATTTCTGATTTATCAGTCCCTAAGATAATACCGAGAAATGCTCTCTGTTCAGGGGCCTTCATTCATCTGCCCTCTCATCTGATGATGGAGACCCAGGCCAAAACCATTTCCTGGGGCCCCTGAAGAATGTAAAGCTCACCCTTTGGAGGGAAGCTTCACTGGGGCAGAACCTAGTATCCTTGGAGTACTCGGCAAGGAAATGCCGAGACAGAATGTGGGACTTGGAGACATATCTCAAAGGACGTCACTCCACTCCCAAACCTCAGTAGAAGAGGTACTGGTGATGCCTAGAAGTCAGTCTCTACATTCAGGGCCCCATCAGCCCTTCTCCCTTACCACTTCCTCTCTGTGCACCCATGAACTCTGCTACCTGACCTGGAGTGCTCCAAGTCGAAGTTCAACTCCTAATCACTTTTCCTGTGAGAGGAAGCCCTGCAGCCATTGCTTTGATGCCATGTACCCTCACAGTGCCCAGGGAACTGCTCAGAAAACCTAGAATGTCAGGCGCTGACTGCCTCCATCACAGCAACCAGCTCATCTCACTGATGCAAAATTCACGGCTGGGCAGATCATCCCTTCAAATGACAGTCTGAGGTCTCTCCCCGAAAGGAAGTGTCCATTAAGCAGGAGACTGAAACGTCGGAAGACAAAATAAATAACCAATGTGTCCCAGAGAGAGGCACCCAAGAACCCAGGAAGCTTAAAGCCTCCTGAAAGGCCCTCTCATGAACAAAAACCCAGAGGTTCTGACCTGACAAAAGCCAGAATGCAGAAAATATATTAAAAGGGCTCAAGGAGCCGCTTACATTTTCTTTCCAGGCACTTCATGAGTCTCTTGATTCTTTTCTGCAGCCACAAAGACAGAGAAGACCTCAGCTGTAGGTGAAACCGCGCATCTTTTCTCAAAAGTGTGGATACTCAAAATTTCCCCCACAGCACCGGGATCTTTGATTCCAAAGTGCATACGTATATCGGTTGGGGATGGCCTGTGAGTGTCATGACTCCCCACTCATGGAACCCATCTGGAAAGTTTCACTGGGGATGCTCAGCCTCTGCTGTGCTTACCCTCATCTTGCCCAGCCCACAGCAAGTCATATTAGAAAGGCTTTCCTGACACCACAGTCCTCACAAAACTGTCTCTCCAAAAGACAGAGTCAGAGAAAGAAAGACGTGGATGAAGCAACACCCGTACCGTGAATCTAAGTTCCCACTGTACTCCTGTAATTGAGATCCCCTCCTATAGGAAGTGCTTCCTCTTCTGGCAGGAGGAAAGTGACCCTAAGTACAATCTCTGGTATTGAAACCTGTCCTAATGGGCTCTTCCCAACCTCCACATTTGTGGCTCAAGAACACCCAGATCCTCTCCCCATCTCCAGAGCATCATCGGCAAATAAGAGAAAGGAAGGAAAGCATTCTTGGTCCATGACCACAGGATGGATGCACATGGCCTCACAGCCTAGGAAGAGGAAGCCTGACCAACGTGCGTTCAAGCTGCCTGCCAGCGGGCCCCAGGCTATGCCAGGCTGGGAGAATCTTATTCATCTCCCCTGAGGCTACACATCTCGTCCTTAGATTGCCATTTGTTTTCTGTCCTTCAGCATCCTCAGGTAGTTGTTCACATCACGATCCAGAGAAGGACTTTCTCCACAAGTGAGTGTTTCACAGCCAGCCTGTTTCTGGGAGACCCTGTCTACTGGATTAGGGCAGAAGAACAGTAACCCACAGCAGACAGTTTGCTTACACTGCCAATTCAGAACCGCCACTCACTCAATGTGGAGAAGCTTCACATGTGCTGGTCTAGGACTATTAGAGGGACAGGAGCCATGACATGAGATCCTTATGAGGATTACACTCCATCAGCAAAAAGACTCTTGAGTACCACATGTATGACCCCGGACACTGTCAAGGAAACATGGGTAAGAAGCTCTTAGATCTTCTCCTGGGTCCCTAGTAAGTTCCAGATACCCCTCAGCTCCATCCTTTTCAGACAGGCCTTCACATGCAATTGCTTCCCCTGAGTAAACAGTGAGGAGGTCAAACTTTCTACTGGGAGAAAACATGCATGATTAGGCCAGGCATGCATGAATGTGTCCTGGATGTCTTTCGGGATCATTATTTCAAGATCCACTTGTGTTCCTTAAATTTCGACCCTTAGAATAATATTATGAAATTCTATTGTTAGAGGATCCTATGTTGTTCAACCCTCTCAGTCAATGATGGATACCTAGGCCAATCCCTTTTTCTTGGGCCCTTGAAGCATGCCAAACTCTCCCTGATAAGGCAAGTGTCACTAGGGGAGAGCCTAGTAACCTTTAGGCACATGCCTGGGAATTTGAAAATAGAACATGGGACTGGGAGTCATATCTCAAAGGACATCACTCCATTCCCTAAACGCGGTAGAACAGATCTAAGCGATGCCTAAAGTATATTTTTGTACATTCATGCCCAGCAGCTCTGCTGCCTGTTCAAGTTCTTTTCTGTGCACCTGTGAACTCTGCTCCTGAAACTTCACTCTGAAACAAAGTTCAATGCCTAATCCCTTACTCTGGAGACAGGTAGTCGTCCTAGTAGCCATTGCTTTGATGTTATTTGCTCATATAATGCTTAGGGACCTGCTCAGATGACCTAGAATGTCAGGTGCTAACTACCTTCATCACTGCAACCAGTTCCTCTCACTGACACAGAATTCATGTTTGGGTAGGTCGTCACTTTAAATAATATGCTGAAGTCCCTTTCCAAAGGGAGGTTTTATTTGGTTTTTCTTTCTTTTTTTTTTTGGCTTATTTTTTTTTCATTGTGAGGCATACCCAAACTTTGTTTATAGTAGGGATATTCAAAAGTTGAACACTTACAAATTTGAAACATTTAAGTCAGTATTGTCTTAGTAGTTTCATGCCACTTCATCCATTGACTTCTATTTTTTTCTTAATAAAAGCAGATATTTTAACATATATTATGGAACAAGCTCTACACTGAATTATTTACATGTATTTTTTATTTATTATTTTTATTTTATGTGTATGATTGTATTGCCTGCATGTAGGTAAGTGTACCTGTGTTGTGCAATGCCTCAGAGGACAGAAGAGGCTGTCCAATCCCCTTGAACTGGCATTACAGATAGTTGTTAGCTGCCATGTGTGTGCTGGGATTTGAATCCAGGTCTTCTGCAAGAACAACCAGTGTTCTTAACTGCTGAGCCATTTCTCCAGCTCCTACATGTATTAATTCATTATACAATCACTCTGAAAGAAAATAGCAAGGTAGATCTAGGACTTGTAGATGTATATACAATTCTGTGAAGATTCTGTTGGAAAAGAGAAGTTGGTCCTAAAATATTGGTTCACATATCTTGAGAATACTTCTTTTCTGATAAGATCCTCTCTTTAAGCCCTCATGGTTTTAATGTACTAATTTTCTTGCTCTTCTTCTTCTTCTTCTTCTTCTTCTTCTTCTTCTTCTTCTTCTTCTTCTTCTTTTATTTATTTTTATGGGGCTTTTGGCTACTCTAATATTCCTCCATCTGAAGAGGTAACCCTAAAATCTTTTAAGGATTAGAGAAAAGCTTCCAAATACTTTTGACATTTTTGGCCTTTGGAACAGAGTATGTTGCTAAGAGGCCCAAGGACATTGTGAGTTTTAGCCAAGAAACTGGCTACTTTTCTTTGGGGTCTTTTTTCCTTAACTGCCTAGCCAATTCCTCCCTCCTATTCTTATCATCTTTTGAAGTTACAAAACTTGCTGATAGGCAATCAGGACCCAGACCTCTCTGGCTTCTTCCTTGCTGAACAGGGGGGACTCAAGGTGAGGCAATTGGAATACTCCTTCAGTGGATCTATCTAAAAAACTCCCAATTTGCATAACTCTTATCTGGTGAGGGGGTGGGGAAGAAAGTCCTTGACTGGTGAATAGGAGATATGAATGAGAAATAAATGCAAGAGTAACTAGCATTACAAGTTCTAGACAGGGAAGTAGAAAAAAGTCAGAACAGGAAAATTTTTAAATGTTCATATGATATGAGAGTCCATTGGAATTTCTTGACAAGGGCTTCCAAAAGCATCTCTCTATTGGGTTCCTCCTCATTTTTCTTCTGTCTTCCAAGGCTGGACTCTAGATTGAGGGATTCAGGATTTGCTTTTAGGCATTTTGATAGCTGTTGGAGTGGTTAGAATCAGTGTCAGTTCCCTCTCAAAGGCTTCTAGATGGGGGAAAAAGAAATATATCCATCATTTTAGAACAATAGCTGGTTGTCTCCCTTAGCTACAGTATTGGAGACCAAGATTTGAAGTCTTACATCTGAGCAGCACTTTCTGATTAGGACCAAAATCATCAATGAGAAATAATTGTCTAAATAACTTTGCATATGGACTTGAGCCTAATGTCTGGGAAGTGTAATCCCTTGAACTCTTTAAGAAATTTACTAATGACTTTACTCTTTGGTTATACTTTCCTTTTGCATGTTTAAGACCATATAGTTAGCCCAAATAAATGAATTCATTTTTACACTTAAGGTCATTTGAGGATCTGTACCTCAGGGGTCACATGGGATTTGGAGGAGCCCCTGGCACCTTTCTTTTACCAGTTCCATCTATTTGAAGATAATTCAAAGGTCCTACTCAACCACGTCTGGCTTCACTTGGAAGCATGGATGAGATGTTTCCTCTGAGTTGACCCTCTTCTTTGTAGACTGGACAATGATTGAAGTCTACCTGGTGGAGTCTCCATGGCCTTCCTGAACAAGAGGGAGGACAGGTGACTCACCACAATTACAGGACATTTTGACAGATGTTCCATAGCTCCCTGGAACTTAGTCAACCTTGGAGGGCAAGAGGCAAAAACTGTCCTTTAAGTACCTCTGACCAGATTAGTATAGGACTCAAAGTATGGCTGTTAAACATCCAATAAGGTTAGTTCCACAAGTCTGATACTTCTTTTAATTATTTTTTTCATTTATTTTTTTTAGACAATATAATTTTTTATTCATTTAATGACCACATGATTAGAAGAAGCATTTCATTACAGCTTTAACATATTCAATAACAACTTCCAGAGCAAAGATATCTCTTTCAAAAGTGGCTTTAATTTTTAGGTTCACAGTTGAATTAATACAGTTATACAATATTGAACTCAGTATAAACCCTGTAAGACATAAAATTGGATGAGTTTTTTTATTTTGTCTTTCAATGATTTTATTTTTATCTTTTTAAAAAATTTTTACAAAAACTTTATTGAGAATTTCAAAAATGTATATGAGGTGTTTTGAACTAATCCATGCCCACTCCCCTGTCTTCCAACATTTCCCCCTCTGAAGAGGTAACCCTAAAATCTTTTAAGGATTAGATACAAACTCCCAAATTCTTTTTGACATTTTTGGCCTTTGGAACAAAGTATGTTGCTAACAGGCCCAAGGACATTTTGACTTTTAGCCAAGAACCTGGTTACATTTCTTTGAGGTCATTTTACCCTACCTGCCTAGCAATTCCTACCTCTTATTCTTATCACACCATCCTCTGAAGGGGCTACCCAAATTGCCAATAGGGAATAAGGACGCTGACCACTCTGGCTTCTTCCATGCTGAACAGGGACAGGCAATTGGAGTACCCCTTCAGTGGATCTATCTAAAAGACTCCCAAGTTTCATAACTCTTGTCTCTAAGGGAAGAAGAACGTTCTGAATCATGAATACGAGATGTGAAGGAGAAGTAAAGGCAAGAGTAATTAGCATTAGAAGTTCTAGATGGGGAACTAGAAAAAAGTCAGAACACAGTTTTAATTACCATGTGCTGTGTAGCTAAAGCTTGGGTAAAAAAACCAAATAGTCTCAGAAAAACCTTGACTAGATATATGTTTTCTTCTTTAAACAAGTTGACTAAACTATGACCTTAGAAGTTTTAAGGTTATGTGTATATTATTTTTTTTCTCATCCTTTACATACCATAACAAACCTACACAGAACTTCATTACTTGCTTAGCCTTTCTCATTTTTTTCTATTTTGGAAAATATCTCCATTCCCATATCCCCTTAACAACTTTTACATTCACATTTTTTAAAAATAATTATGAGACAATAGCATTAACAAATAAATTTTCCATCTGATGTGAGAATTCTTTTCCTGGGGATACTAAACAATATTTATTCCCTTTTAAGGTTCTACTGTCAAGCCAATGTTTGGTTAAAGTTTTACTGGGGAACCAATGAATTTACTGAGCTTACTTAAGAGAAAACTGAGGGGCTGCTGAGGAGTATGTAGGACTTGAGCATATGCACACTGGAAAGCCTTTACCCAGCATGGGTCATGCCTTCTCTTTCTAGCTTTCTGAGGTTGTATACTTTAGCGCTCCCGCCCCCAAACCCAGGAGACCATGTATGATTAGGGCCATCAACAGAAAAGGAGCCAAGCATGATATCCGCTGAAAACCCTGGCTTGCAGGCATGCTGTTCTTCTAAATCACTTCATGGTTGAGGCCTGCCTTGAGTAACAAGACCACATGAGTAAGCACTGGGTCCAACAAGGGAACGACAGGGACCGCCACAACAGGCACATGGAGGATGCCTTCAGAGCTTGAGCACACGGCAACCTACACAGGACAGACCCATTTGCTGTGAAGCTTGCCCTGACAATGCCAAGCTCA